TCTCCAGCACTGGGGGGAAAGAGGGGAGGAAGAGAAAGAGGGAGGGAAGGAAAGACAGAGAGAGAGAGACAGAGAGAGACAGAGAAGACAGGTTACACCCGTAATGTGAAGGATCCAAACGCCACTGGATTTCTCAATACTATGAAAGTCACAAGATCATGATAAAACATCTTTAAAACAGAATATGTTTTCTAAACTATTATTCTACAATAAGGCAAACTGTCAATCAAAAATATAAAGACATTTTCAAAAAATGTTTCCATATAAACAGTCTCCCATGCACCTCCTGGTAAGAAACTATAAGAATGTGCTCCACCAGTTTGAGGCAATAATCCAAGAAAAGAGGATGGGTCAAGAAAACAGATGGTGCTGAAATGGGAACACTCGGAGGCTGACGCCAGCATGGCAGGTGTAAGGAGGCTGCGGCTGCGGTTAGGCAGCAGGGCAAGACCACTGTAGGGAAGAGGCAGGACTGAAGCAGCAGAGGGGAAGCTCCAGGAAAGACGAGGAAGGAAGGAAGGAGGGAGGGAGGAAGGGCAGGAGGGAAGAGAGAAAAGGAGGGAAGGAAGGAGACACAGAGAAAAGGAAAGGAAGGATGAGAAAAAATAGATCTCTTGGGGATATGTTTGATCATACTGAAAATTTTACAGGGTCAGAAAAGTTTGAGGTTGGGTTCAAGGTGGGTGCAGAGAAATCATTACTTTAAGAAAGAGGGAATTATTTATTCTGAAAAGTTGTACAGGAAAGGAAATACAATCCCAGTAAGTACATGGCTAAACAATGAAGCATTGTGCAAAAACAGTCAAGTAAATATGAAATACTTTAAAATCAGAATTTGAAAAGAGAGACTGGGACAGGGACAGGGTTGGGAGTATTTGTGAAGAGGGATTGTAAGCGAGCTAAGTCTTCACTGTGTGCAGAATCGAATACCTGAGAAAGTGAGAAACAGCAACTGACGGAGATGACTGAGGAAACATCTTAATATGAGAAAGCAACTGAGAACACTGAAGTGGTTGCCTTTGGGAAACAGAGCAGGTGGAGGGGGATGACTGTCTCCTCTCATACACTTTGTGGTGCCGTTTGACTCTCTGAACTATGTGAGCGAGTTCCTTGGATAAAGTAAGCAGCATGTATTTAAAGGGAATTGAGCAAAGGAGCTTGGGGTGTTTAAGGTTAAGGAAAATGAATGTTCAAAGATTCTGTGCTAATTGGAGGTATGTTTTCCATGGAGATTTTATGGCTGAAAAGCTCACAGTAATATACCTTAAAATTCTGGTAAAACAAAATTGAAAGGGGAAAACATACTCATCACACACCACAATAGAAGCTATACACACAAAGAACAGAGTAGCAGAGCAGTCTATGATTTATCTGGCCCTATGACTGCAAGAAAAAGTTCACATCATATTCTGGAAATTCTTCACTTTTCACTCGATGATACAGGAGTCCCTCTTGGGCCCTCAGTAGACTGGTAACCGTCCCTGGCTTTTGGTTTACTTCTCTCATAGTCGCTCCATTGTTTTCTGCTTGCCAGACACAGGGATTGAGTTTGCCTTCCGAGAAATCTCACTGTTGTGCCATGGGTTCAAGATAACCATGTCCAATCAAAGGATTCTTTTTAGACTTGCTTTACTAGTTCTTCTATTTGGCTCAAAAGCAGCTTCATGTCATTTGTGTGAATACTTTCTCTAGTGGAGTTGATAACCAACTGAAAACATATTGGGAGGCCAAATTTTGATAATTGCTAGCGAATGGTTTATTAAATACCCTTATGTTTAAGACACAGTTTTAGGCACTATACAAAAATTAGCTAAAAGAGAGAGGGAAGGAAAGAGAGGGAGAGGGAGGGAGGCAGAGAATCTTGACCTTAAGAAACAGTCAGATGAGGAAAATAGACAAAAGTAAGCAGTAAGTTATGGCTATTTCACCACAGAAAGCTACATTTCAAAACTTATGGAGCAATGAAAGTGGTCCAATGCATGATTAATAAATCTTGAAAGTTGAAAGAAAAAAAAAGGAAAAGAAAAGCAAGGAGTAAGGAGAAGTCAAAGACATAACATACCTCAGAAAAGACTTAAGACCTTACAATTCAGAAATTGTACAAATACTTTCATAACCATGATTTTAGCTAAAGTTTTACAGGACTGGGAGAAGATGGTAAAGCGTGAAAGGGCAAAGTGGAGAGAGAAAGGAAAAGGGAGTAAGTGTGGGAGGTCTTTAGAACTGTCTGCTGAAGCAGAGATTTATAACCATGGTACCAAGTGTAAATAACAGGAAATAATGGTATAGCCTCAATCCAGCTGGTCAATGATTTGACTCCGAATTTTAAAAAAAGAAACAGCAAAGTGTAAGCTTTTTATTTTTATTTATTTATTTTTTGGTATCTGGGATCGAACTTGGGACCTTGTGCTTGCGAGGCAGGCAGCGGCACCACTGAGCTAAATCCTCAGCCCAGCTTTTTATTTTTTAAATAGAGTATCCTTCCTTTAAAAAAGCATTTTTTCCTGATGGTAGAATTAACATATCCATCTGATTTAAAAATTTAGAATATTCAGTAAAATACGAAGTGCAAAGCAGTAATTTCAACTTTTCCAATCAGAAATACAATTCCTAACATTTCAGATATCCAGCATTGTCTACACATATTAAAAGCACAATTTGGATTGTGTCATGCAAGTGATCTGCTTATTTTATTCACAGAAGGAGCCATTACAATATGTGATTAATTATGCACGAATATTAAAAATTTCATGTATATTATTTATTTTTCCAAAAATGCTTATTTTAGTTCCAAATTTTCACTGTCACAAGCAACACCATGAACATAATTTTGGCAAATTCTATGCTTATGAGGAGTAATATGTAAATGCTGAGAAGTGGCATTACGAGATAAAACATTCACTATTTTGAAAGATTTTTTTTTTCTTTTTTTGGTTCTTTCTTTTCTTGAAATATCTAGAAAATAAGTTCATTTCCACTTATTTCTGAAATAGCACTTTCTATAAGTGTCCCAAATAAATAACATCTGTATAACATAACTTTCTTGAAATAAATGTCTCTGTTCTCCTACTGTTCCTTTTGGTGCCTGAGCCATTCATTAAACCTAAGTGTTGATCTTGGTCCTTGTGGTTGAGCAGAATAAAGTGAGTTTTCACTAGCAATGGCAGGAACAAAATGGAATTCTATTTTGCATATGGCCTGTAATTTATGCTAGTATTTGTGCAGGGTAGCTGGCTATAGTGTAGCTAATTATTCTGAGAGCTGTGTAAATACTACTCCACGATCAGATAAAAACATGAAATAAATGGTATGTTTGCAGAAAGATATTCACATGTTTATTATGTATTTTTGAAGCATGTTTCATATGTTAGTGAGTTAATACTGCATTTAAAAGCATGCTTTTATCTCATGGTGCCTTATGAGATTAAGACATGATTAATCTAATGAGACTTCACCAAGCAAGATTCTGGCTGCAGAGGCTGGGAGTTGGAACGAATCATCTGAGGTCTGGCTTGGAGGAAATACTGGCGAAAAAGCAGTAAATGAAGAGGCACAGTTTGTATTAAGATTAACAATAGATCATTTTGACAGCCTGTGAGCTTATAAACCTTGCGACGCGTCTGGATTACCATGAACATCCCTGTGTGTCACCTCTGTTTTGTCTGCTTCCGAGCTCAGTCTTGAAGGGTATCACATGTCGCATTTTTCAATGTTCTATATGTGTGTGTATGCACACGTAATTATTTATATATATATATGTACAGATAACGAAACCAAGATAAAACAGAAAAGTTCCCATGTCGATGATGTTTTCCTGCTAGCTACTGACTACAGCCGATGAAAAGCAAGCTGTCCTTTTCTTCACCTAGACAGAATCTTTAGGGGGCGTGGCCAGGCACGCCAGGAGAGAGAGACACAAACAAGCACTGAAGTGCGGCAAGATCTGCCTGTTGAATTCCTAGTGTATCCAGCTGTGGACACATATCCAACCACTGGTTTAGACACAAAGGCCTCTAGAGCAGACTTCTGCAAAATCTCCAGCTAGAATACCCGTATCTGCATTCCAAAAGGAATTGGGCATAGAACAGCAACCGGCAGTAGAATGATCCTTCATGAACCCATCTGTGTTGGGAAAGCCACCCAAAGGTGCATTTCCTCACTCCTTCTTTCCTGCAGAGTAAAGTGCTAGATTAAAGGAGCCGTAGTTGTAGGCACTGGTCAGGGTGACAGCCAAAAGCTTATGAGGAGTATTTGCTCACCAAGTTGTGCCTGTACATTTCCGCCATGTATCACACAAACAGCCCAATGCTCCTAAACCAGGTTGTCACAAAGGAAGACAGTGGCAAAGAGGTGACTTTATTTTGATTTAGCACTAAGATACGTTCTCCTGAAAGAGAGCCGGATAAACTGGACAGGTCCCACTGTATTCTCAAGTAACTAGGCTGAAAGAGCCACAAACTGCTGGCAGTTGTCTAGCAGCAACTGTTTAAGTGTTGAATAGTCCTACAAAATCTTCACTTGGAAAATACAAAAAACTCTCTTACATTTGAACATCAAGAATCCAAATATCCCACCTTTCATAACTCAGTAAATAGCTGGAAGTTGCTCAGGGGCTTGTAAAACAGTTCTAGGTAGCCCAAAACGTCCCTGCCTTCCTGTTTCCCCCAAGTCTAGGACAGAAGGTCCTGGAAGAGAAGCCCCAGAGGTGGCACTATGTTTGGTCCTGTGACCTCTGCTGCCTGACTGCCTCAGAGTGAGAATTTTATGTGATTTTTGGTTTCTTATCTGCAGTTGGGAAGAGCAGTCATAGGTATTCAGGTAAAGCAAGTTTATCTGGCTACCTTTTTTCCACCTCTTAGAAGAAAGGGGAAAGGTACACGAGGACAGCCACTGCATAAGATGTGTGAGGAGGATTTCTGCAAGTAATTAGATCCCACTTGGGCCGAAACTCAGCCTCATGCATGGACAGCCAGAAAGTGCATGTCACATGTCACACTTACCTGACCGTGGGATGCGAGCGCTGTGTAGGCCATGGGCTGATTCATCACTCCCTTCTGCTTCATGAGAAGCATGCGTTTCTGGTCCTCACTCAGGTGCGCTCTCGGGGCCTGGAGCTGCGGTGGAGGCGGCGGTTGCTGCTGGGCGGGTGGCTGCTGCTGTTGCTGCTGCTGCTGCGGCTGGATATACGGCATCAGGGGGTTTTTGCTGGGGTTGGCCATCGGGGGTGTGATCCTCTGACTCAAGTCTGCATTAAAATGGGTCAGAGGTTTAGTGTTGCCATACGTGAGAATATTGTGCTGTTTGTTTAAGGAGTTTGTACCCAAGTTATTTGGCTGCTGATTGATCATATTCATATGATTCTGGGGGAGGTAGTTACTCATTGGTGTCTTCTGCAGGTTGTTTGCCATTGGAGGCACTATAGGGTTTTGGTTGTTAAAGGCTTGAGGGTACATCATTGGGCTATTTGGTTTTTCTGCAGTGAAAGCTGCTCCGTATGGACTCGATGGAGGCCCTAAGGGAGACCAACTTGAAGTCTGGTTTGAATGCTGCTGCTGTTGCTGCTGCTGCTGCTGCTGCTGCTGCTGTTGCTGCTGTTGCTGCTGCTGCTTCTGCATGAGTTTGGCTCGCTGTTGCTGCTGGGCGGCCATCTGTTTGAGCTGTTCTGCTGGAGACATGTCAGAGCTGGGCACAGCCACAGGGACTGAGCTGGCCACTGTCACCGCTGCTGGATTAAGGAGATAACCATTGCCAGGCCGAGGCGGAGCTTGGGCCGGCGTGTGGGCTTGGTTTGGAGTTTGAGGGGACTGGACAGCACAGTTCGCGGGTGAGCTGGCGGGGTTGGGAGCTGCAGGAGTGCTGGCCACGGAAGGTAAGCTCGTGGCCGTGGACACAGTAGAAAAGGGAGGACCAGAAGACGAAGGCCTGGCCTGGGGCGAGCCCATGGAGACGTGTGCAAAAGGCGAGTGAGACGGGTCGCTCTTCACGCCCGCACTCTCCTGGGAGAGAGGAGTCTCTGTGGCTGGCTGCGAGAATTCCGGCTCCTTCTTCTCTTCGAAGTCTTCATTGAACAGGTCCTGTATGTCGTCTTCAGGAACCGTGTTGGCCAGCTCGTCTATTAATTCTTGCCACTCTTGGTCATTCAGGTTAATGTCAGAGAACAATTTGTTCTGATTGGAAAGAGATGTTTCTGATGTGTCTATGCAGGTAGGATCATCGAGAGGTTCCTGTTTGAGGTCCTTGCTCTGCAGGATGGTGAAGCTATCCTCGAGGTTGCTGCAGCCGTTAACAGGAAGCTTAACCTCAGGGAGCCTACCGTTCTTGCTTAGATCTTCTAGAAGCCCAGGGGCATGAGTTCCACTATTCTGCAAGGGCAGAGAAGGCTTCAGGTCAAGTTGGTGAAGAGGAGAAGCAGAAGGCAGTGGCAGGTTGTTGGGCAAATTGTTGATGGCTTCCATCCCAGCAGGCATGTCCTTTCGAATTCGCTTGCTAGTGGGAGAAAAACTCCCATCACAAGCACCATTCTGCTGGTCTCCATTAAGAGGGGATCGTGCTCCTTCCAACTTCCTTTTCACAGTCTCTTGTAGCTGGAAAAGAAATGAGAAAGAGGGTGACTCACTCTTCTTCAAGTCATATCTTACTTTTAAGCATTTTGATGTACACGGCTACACGCTGACTTTTAAATGCTTTGGAATGCGTACGAAAGAAACTTCTAATTTCAATACAGCTACTTCTAATTTCAAAATCGGGCAACTGCAGTTCAAATACTATGGGAAAAGGTTGTAACAGCAAAGCGTGGAGGGCTAAGAGAGAAGACAAACTGAATACTGAGGGGTAGGAAACAAAAGAGAAGATCACGGGAGAAAATTATGTTACCACTTTCCAAATGAATGCTAGACAGGAGACTTGGACCAAAATGTATCATACTTGAGAAAGATGTTAGTATCAATCTTAAATTCTTGCCAGACTTTGAGAACATCAAGAAATTAAACCCACAATGTTTTGAAGAACACTACAAAACCTCTAGGAGAATATGGAATTGAGCCTATTTACTGAATAGCATACAACTGAAGACTAATTTTAAACATTACCCCAACTTCCTTTCAGTTCTTATTTTACCTCGCTTTAGCACCATTCTATTCAGTCATCCCTTCTCTTCTAAAAGCAAATCTCCATTGGCTTTCATGGTATCACATTTTTAAAAATTTCCTCCTTTTTCTCCATCTGCTCTTTCTCGATCTCTTATGTATTCTTTGTTTGCCCTAAATGACAAGATTCTTCAATGTTTTGTCTTAAGTTTTTTGTTTTTTTCCTTCTGTTCACTCTATGCTTTTTAGACAATTTCATCACAAGGGCCTCAACCATCTTCTCTAAGCTGATGGTCTCTAAAAATATTCCCAGCGCAATCTTCTCTGCTGAACTCTGTTAGCTCCAAGGATCTCTTGGATAATTCAGGGGCATTACACTCAACATGTCTCAACACTGACCGCCTTATCATGTGCTACTCACCCATGTTCCCCATCTCACTCTCTAACCAATACCCAAGACAGAAATTAGAATTTTAGCATGTAAAAAACACCTTCCACATCACCAATAGCCACGTCCCTCTGCACCATTCCACTGTTCTACTCATGCCTGTCCACACTGCTACTCTCCTAGGCCAGGGTTCCACTGTCCCTTCTTGGACTTTTGAAGCAGTCTCCTGACTGATCTCTTCATTCATCCATCCACTCACTCTTTCCTCTATCACTTTTATTCCATGTTTTGTTTTCCCCTAATGCAGTCTTCACATTGAGGTCGTTTTTAAAAAACAGAAAAAAAAACCAAAATAGAATGTCCTTCCTGTTTATAACCCTGCAATGACTCCCGTTGTTTTATCCAAGCTGGCTCCTGATAAAACCACCTGGCTACTGCTCATCTTTCCACCTCTCTACTCAGCACCCTCTGCCACTCTCCCCTCACCTACAGTACAGCTCTATCTTCTCTCCTGGAAGTCCTTCAGTTCCTTGGAATTTCCAAGCTTGCTTCTGCCTCCAGGCCATCATATACCTTGTTTTCTTTCTACTTCTTCTCCCCCTCCCTTTTCCTTCATTAATAGTTGCTTATTTTTCAGGTCAGATCTCCTTACTGTAGGAAATTTTCCATCTATCCTTTCCCCACTCTACCCATGACAAATGCCTGTCTTGACCACCTCTTACTGGGATGGATGTACTGGAATAAGTTTGTCCCAGCAATCCATATCTCCTTCTCCTGGCTATTATCACATTCTGAGGCAATGGTTTAAGTGCCTGTTTAGCAAGCTCCAAGAATGTGGGGCCTGTGGCTGAACCATGTACTGTAGATTACAGTATTGCACCGAAAGCTCAGGCTCTTAGCAATGCAACCGTGCAGTTCACAGAGGCTAAGAGAGGTGAGTCTGATCAGAGCAGAAGGCAGCCTCACTGACTGACTTGGAGATCACATGCCTGGTAATGGGAATGATGAAGCTCTTACTCTAGAAGAGGGATGGCGAACCTTTTAGAGAGTTCAATGATACAAACAGCTGGTGTGCCATAGGTTCGCCATCCCTGCCTAGAGTGCATCACATCCACATTAAGATAGCTGACTAAGAAAATTCTTGCTACCTTAATCTCAACACTTGGTAGGCTGAGACAGGAGGATTGGGAATTCAAGAGTTTGAAGCCAGTCTGGCCTACGTAGCAAGACTTTGTCCCAAACAAGACAACAAACCAACCAACCTAATTCTGTTGCTGTGGTCTCCCCTTCTGGGAGAGCTTGGCATCCAGTGTGTGCTGGGGAGATGCCTGCTGAGTGATCAGGTGGGTTAGAAGGGTTTTGCAGCCTCGCACTGGTGAAGGCAGGAGTGCAGTGGTTCGGGGTGGGAGGAAGGCAGAGCAGCAGGCCCCCCCCCCCCCCCCAGTCTCCTGTTCTTGGCAGAGGTGCTGGGTAGCACAGAGCCTTTAGGGCACGGAGCAGGATTCCCTCTGACCTCACACCCACAGGTGGAGTTGCTCAGCTCTGGGGGAGCCCCAAGTATAGGAAAGCCCATCTGGAGAAGATGCAGTGAGTTTCAGGAAGGGTCATTTTATTTCTGTGTGCCCTCTTATAAGCAGAGAAATCCATTTAAAAAGTAAACAAAGTAGAAAAGGTCCCTGGATGAAAATCCAGTCCCATCCATGGTCCTAAGTCTCATATTTTAAATCACAAATCAGACACCATCTCAGTCACTCGGCAGAGGCTCCTGATCTGCTGAAAACGGGGCCCAAACTGGAACACTGTGGAATTTGACGTCAAAGAAAATACTGGTTCAATCCATCAATTTCCACTGCTAGAAAATGATGTTATTTATGGAACAAACCAGAAAGCCATGGCTCTGATCACAGTTACGGCAGATACTTGAACGTACACAGGTCCAAACACAACGGCAAGTTCAAACAGCACAGCTCCGGGGTCTGAATGAAACAAGGCCTGGAGCACCTCCTGAAGAGATGTGAAGCTTCAAAAAATCTTCATGTGTCTTACAAATGAATTTGACTTTATTTGACGAAGCACAGGTCTGTGATTCTGTTCTGGGTCATGGAATGGATGGGACAGGACAGAGGAATAAAGACAACTCCAGTGTTCCCTGGAGAATGGTGGTGGCCGAAATGATGGTGACAGACAGGTCTAGCTGGGAATCTCAAGTTTGCCTCTTACCGAGGAGTGGACAGGGAATAGACCGCAGTATCACAGAAACAGATGCAAGGCTCTGGAGTTCAAATGCTGGGCTCAGACCCAGCTCCCCCTAACCAAGAGTTAACATAGACACACAGACAAACACTGTCTGGTACTTAATAAATGGTGCCCTCAATACCCTCCAATAGAAAGGAAACCACACGAAGACAGTGATTTTTTTTTTCTTGTGTTTACCTCTGGGTTCCCAGGAGTTCACAGCTTAGCTTAATAAATATCTGTTAAATGAATAAATTTTGGGAAATTTATATAACCTCTCCTAAGCCTCATTTTTCTCCTCTCCTAAGCCTTGGTTTCCTCCTCTGCAAAATGGATTAATAACACCAAGCTCATAGAGCTACTGGGAGGCTGTCTTTAAGTGAAACAATGTAGAAAGCCCTTAGCTTCATACCGGGGATCCAGTAAGCGCCCACTAAGCCTTAGCTTTCCTATTTCTGAAATTCAGTGATACAAACAGTCACAACTGCGGCTGAGATAGAATGCCTCCTGGAGCTTCAAAACACAAACAGGTAGAATGATAATATTTCTGTTCCCTAGCCGGCCAAACCCTAATGTTTTCCAAGCATCTGGTGTAGCTTTTTAAATATGAACAACAAAAATCAAATTTGCAATTCAAGCCCAAGTCCAAGTGCTAATGCATGCATGTCCTAGATTGTAGAACAGCAGAGGCTGGGTTGTCGGGGCTCAAATCAAATCCATTTCCAGTGCCACCTGGACAGGGCTGCGGAGTGCACCCTTTCCCCGAGGGCCCCACATTCGCAACTACTGGCTCCTTTTAACCCCAATCTTGCCATCTATCTATCTATCATCTATCTACCTACCTGTCATGTACCAGCATTTCAGAGAATCAGAGAATAAGAACAACATCATTAAGTCGCTACGTTATGGTTTCTATGCTTTGTTTTGTCATATCCAAAACAGCAGAAGAATCTTCACATCCCTTTCATCTCTCCATCCTTTGTTATATGGAATGGTGATCTGAGAGCCTATTTCTCTCTTTATGTCCCTCGTGGGAGACAGACGGAGCGTGGGCAAGAAGACATCAAACTGTGTTCAAGAAGCCGACTCTCAGGTAGTGAGTGTAAGAGAAATGGCCCGGAGAGGCCGCACCCAAAGGACCCAGGTCACCCACAGTCCAAACAGCCTATCCTACTAAGTCCCGGGCCCTGTTCCTCCTAAGGCTGGAACTCTTCTGCTCTGTGACCTTGCGGTAGAATCATGGAAACCCTTCTGAGCACCAGCCCCTCGCTCCTGTATTACATTACTACGTACCGATGCTTTCTTTCGTTAGGGAAAGCTGCAATGCTAGGAGCTGAAGTGCTGTTCATCTAGGCCTGTGACAAGGTGGGCCACTGTCAGGTGTCACTTCCTCTGCAGGAAACAATTCCTCCTCCACAGAGGCTCCAGCCCTAGTCTCTCGTCTACAGTGTGGCTTGATGGCTGGTTTGTGTTTCTGTGAAATTGAGCTGTGTGTGCGCGTGTGCATGCAAGCGTGTGTGCGTGTGTGTGTGTGCGCGCGCGTGCATGTGTTACACCCACATCAGTAGTTATAAGAATAGCTGTGCCTTTGGAGTCACAAAGCACTTTGACACAGGATCCTATTTTAGCCTCATACCAGACCTGCAGCAGCCTGGTGTGGGGCTGGTTGGTTGTACAGGGAAAGGGGCACGTTTTAGAGGAGAAGAAATGGGCGTGCGTGGACATGGATGGGAACAAGGATGAGCATGGCTAAGATGACGTGGAGCCTCATTGCTAGATTACTGAGGTATCCCCTGGGCCACACAGTCCACGATGAAGAGATTTTTTTCTTTAGACTTTTGGCAGTGTATTCAAAGAAATTCTCACTGCCCCGTCC